GGGAAAAGTCCACCGATGCTGATGAGGCACTGAGTTCGAATGGGAGTCGCCCTGCGGACTTTGCTAGTGATGCAGCGACAACAGAGGGTGCCGAAACCGATGTCAAAATGGACGTAGATGGGCAGGAAGAAGCTTCTGACACTGGTATGGAGGTAGACGACAATCAACCATCTGCGCTGAGGTCCGGTCCGAAAGAGGTCAAGGGGAAAGGGAAAATGGAACTAGAGCAAGACGATGGCAGTGAAGAAAAAGATCTCGAGGAAAGTGAACAGAGCGAAGAATATAGCGAGGAAGAAATATTCACCCTTGAGCCTCCCAGGGTCATCCGCACCGCATCCTACTCTGGGCCAATCCTTCGCATCCGTACTACTGTGAAGTGGCAAAGCCCCTCGGAAAAACAATGCGATCACGAGAGTTCAAGTTTTGGCTCGGGATCTGTTCCACGCACCGTTATAGTTGGTGTTGTTGCGAAACTCTCGATCGAACACGACCTGCACCTCGCTCAAGAGGCAGCAAATTATCAATCGTTCCCTGACCACTTCTTCCAACACTGGAACGGGTATAATGTCATACCCCCAATACACGATCCTATCCCCGTTGGGGCAGTCTGCCCACAGTTTTACGGGTATTACACACCTGACGATCCAACTGACAGCAAATATTGGGGTCGACCTCGTTATTTGAGTCCGATATTGCTCCTGGAGTACTGTGGCCGCGAGATAGATCCAAATGAGTTGTGTCAGGACGACAAGCAAGAGTGCGCGTCGCTTGTCTTGCGCTTTCATCATGCAGGGTGGTTGCATGGGTCATTCGCAGCGCGGAACATCCTGTGGCAGCAGGGCAAGCCCACGGAGTGGCCAATCGAGCGGCCGCACTCTGTCAAGAGTTTCCGCCTCATAGACTTCGGTAGATCGATTAGATCCGATGTGGCCGCTGTCGTGCTGGAGAAAGAAAGGGCTTTTCAGTTGCTCTACTTGCTGCATCACGCATATAAGAAACCTCAAACTGAAAAGAAATAGTCGCTTACAGACTGTTTGTAATTGTCATCGATCAGCTGTACGAAACGAATGTTGTTTTTACCCCACAGTGGGTTACACATACCCACGCAGTTGCCTAAGCAGCGCTGATATTAGGTGCAGAGTCCTGGCTGTCCTCGTGGCTTTGCCATGACGAGACAAGAGTGACGGCGTACAAACGGTGCACCCAATTGTAGCCAGGGCGTCTACGGCATATCTCGAACACACGAGTGCGCAAAGCACGAGCATGGAGAGGAGTTGTAAAGCTTGAGTTGAGGTGACACCAATCCAGCAATGCTGCTTCATGCGGTGGGCTTAATAGTTGGCGCTTCCTGGCAGCATATTAAGTGGACTGGTGGAGTCTAGTGCCACGAGTCTGAACAGAAATCTAAATAAGAGGACTCAGTGTCTTCGTATCAATGAATGGTGGATATCTCACCTGATGAGCTTTTGCTGCAGCTCTATAGCTCTTATATTTCCTCCTTGAACTCCAGCAAGGGGGGCCGTTTTCTTGAATCCGCAACTCACGCTGGACCACTTTGCTTGGAGTTGGGGAATGGATACCCCTGCCCCGAGTGCGCCCCATATGCTGTCCAAGATTCAAGCAGTTTGAGTGGTTCGGCTGCCGGCAGAACTGAAACTCTGCTACGGTGCACTCGGTTTGGTGACAGGCAGACGCGATTTTTGGCTCAACAGATCATTTCTTGACCAATTTCAAAGACTCAACTTCGCAACAGTGTATTACAAGCGTATAATTGATATGTGGTCAAAGTGACTTCGACCACATATCAATATGACTAGCACACACCCGTTGCGCCTTCGGCACAGGAAGCAAAAAGAGCGCTTCGCGCTCTTTGTTGGCTTCCTGGCCTTCGGCTTCATCCTACTTTGGGTATTTTAATAATTATTTTAGGTTTTGAAATAAATTATATTGTATTCATCAAGTTGAGCATGATATATTACATTCAGATATATTGAACCCTCCTGTTCTCAGCAGGACATACTGCACTACAGTGCTACAAAGCACTTTGCAGCAAATTATGTTCCCCTCATAAGTTCTCTGATTTTCCCATTCTCCTGTTTCCCTGTTCTTTGTGCAGATGAGAAAAGTAAAAGTAAAATTGAATGTGTTGATCCCATCTCACTTGTCCTCCGGTCCTGTCATCCCCCTGTCCTGTTGTCATCCTCCCATCCTGTTGTCGTCCTCCCATCCTGTTGTCATCCTCCCGTCCTGTTGTCGTCCTCCCATCCTGTTGTCATCCTCCCATCCTGTTGTCGTCCTCCCATCCTGTTGTCGTCCTCCCGTCCTTCTGTCATCCTCCCGTCCTTCTGTCATCCTCCTGTCCTTCTGTTGTCCTCCCGTCCTGTTGTCCTCCTCCTGTCCTGTTGTCCTCCTCCCATCCTTCTGTCGTCCTCCCATCCTTCTGTGGTCCTTCTGTGGTCCTCCCATCCTCCTCTTTCCCCCCTTTTCCCATTTTCCTGTTCTTGTTACGACTTGGATGGTATCTGTTGGCGACGCTCAAACAGAGCTTGTGTCGTCAACGGTCTGTGGACGTCCTTGGGCTAGCCCAAGGTTAGGGGTCGTACTTGGCGTGTCTTCGGCAAGTACGATTTGACGCCTATGTCCAAATCGGGTAGCTTATGTCACGCGGGTGCGAGACGATAAGCTATATCGGCCTAGGCTTACGACACCCGAAGGTTAATCGTAAGGATCGTCGTTAATTAGAAGGACAGAAGTCCGACTAGTTAACAGGGGCTTTGCTCGTCGACGAAGTCGATGAGTAAAGGTCGAGACTATAGGCTTATCCGCGATGAGCAGATAAGAAGATAGAATATAGACTGCTGGCGAGGCAGAAGGATCACTCTGGTGAGAGTAGGAGGTCAAGAACCAAGTAGATTCAAGTTAGGGAATATAGTACATGGTAGCGAGTTTATATAGAGGACAGGAAACGTATTAGTGGATGATAACTCGTACTACCGGGAGAGGCAATCGGTAAGGGTAAGACCATAACAGGAAGGCATGTTCGGTCTAGGTAGAACGTGCTTAGATAAGAAAATGAGTCAAAGATCGAAATAAGAAGTGAAACGCGCAGGGGCACGATCGTGCAGCTGCGGATCTAAGTATATGTCGCATGTGCGACTGCGCACCGAGTCAGAGATCATAAAAGGGAACAGGGCAAAGGGGATGCGTCGTGCATCATAACATAGGTTACCAGTCCGGACGGTAAGGGCAAGGGGACTGTCCGCAGGATCAGTCAGGTGGTGAAACGGAGCATGGGTATGCTTCGTCAGCGAAAGGATCCGGCCAAATGTACTGGCTTTGCTGAAGCGACAGGTAGAGGGCGAAAGGGAATGCGAGGAATGACGAGGATGACAAGGGTAAGGTCGGGGTAAGGGTATGATGCGAGGGCTGATACGAGGAGGATTAGGAGAAAAATAGTAGGGGCCCAAGCGTCTAGATGTTCTTGTAACAGTTCTCCCATTTTTCCCATTCTTCCATTTTCTGTTTCTCCTGTTTTCTTGTTCTCTGTTCTCTTGTTCTGCAATTTTCCTCATTTTCTCTGTTCTCCCATCTCCCCCATTCTCCCATTCTCATTTCCCATTTCTCAATTGACTTTTCTTCTTTATGTAGTTAAATTTTGTGTGTATATAATTTGAATTTCATAAATAATAAATGTTTTTAAATGCGTGCTGCCCTAACGGGCAGCGGACCCTCGAGATCACGTGACAGCCACGCGAGTTTCCAAATCGAGCTTTAAGCGAGGTAAGCGAAAACCACATGGCATTTAGCGTCCGTTAGCGGCCCAAGCGACCCAAGCGAAAACCACGCGAGCGTCCGTCCCTTCCCTCACCGTTCTCCCTTACTTTATAGATTTGAAGTAGAGTTGAGTGAGATATTGCAAATTGTCCGAACGAGTGGTTGTCCGAAGTTGTGCACGTGGTAATAGCCGCCGATAGAACCAAATACCCAGCAATTATCCACCCGAGCGCTAATACCATGATCGCTTGTACTTAGAGGCGCCCAGGCAACCAACATCCACCTCTAATTAAGAGGGTTACGTGGGACTCCGGAGTCACAGGTGCATCGAAAACACAAGTCACAGCGGTACAACCTCATGAGGGTAAGTAGTATCAAAGCTCAAAGTATTGAATAGCATAGGGACCGACCTCGCACAAGTACCTCGACAGCAGGTCTGTGCTTCTACTATTCTTCTAATTGGACAAGCTGGAAAGCAGTCATGTCGACGGCAACACTTGGGCAGGAATCGTTTCTCGTGAGAGATAGGTTTCATTTTGTTGAAATATTAAAATAAGCGTTAATTTTCGGGAGTATAAAGGCAAGTCATCTTTCTACCGTCCACCCACCTCGCACAAACAATGCGTTTCGCCTTCCTCACCGTTATTATTGCTCTGACAACATCTATAACGTTTGTCAGTGCGTGTGCACCAAGGGAAGCGCCTTGCACACAGACCAGTGACTGCTGCGATAAAGAAGATAAATGCGTTTCAATTGTGAGTGGGAGGTTTTCTTTGCACACTTGATGACTCACCCTTTGGACCTCGTAACATCAGCCGGATGGTGCTCAAATGTGCTATCATAATGGAGATTAGCCCCACAGAGGCCGTTAAATTTGCACGTAGAAACACACTGGTGAATTATGTTTCCGCTTTCTCATTGGTGCTGTTATTGATGGAATAATATGCAGATTGAGAAACGGATAGAGGCACAAAGGTCTACATGGAACGTTAGGATTACCTTTGCATAACTAGACCACTCAAGCTCGAAGTGTTGAATGGCTTCAACTACAGAAGCAAACGAGCAAAGCAGATGCGTGCTTCTGTTTTTTCCAGCTACAGAGGTAAACGAGTTAAAACGAAGTCTGTTCATTGACATGAAAGTAGCTGTGGGACTACTTTACCGTGGGCCCCAAGTTCAAACAAAGATGACGGCGCCGTAATAGTTCTGGCAGTACTAGGCAAGTTGAACATTCTGTGCGGTCCGCGTAAGTGTAACAAGTTCCGATGAAATTAAATAAAGAACGTGTCATTTTACCAGCTGATGCCGGCAGCTGTGGACATTGATTTTAATTTCACAAATCAGGCTAGTTGTGTGTGCATCGTGAGGATGTCCGCATCGCGTCCGCTCAAATCCCATGAATCCATGCCTCCATGGTGCTTTCAAGCCTACTATGCCGCATCAGACTTCATTCATTCCGTGTCGAAGCCGCATCAAACTCAAACTTACTTGTCACGGTGTTGCGTAGTGCTGCCGCATTCTCAGTGGTAAGTCACAACTGTATGAGATAAGTTCAGTATCTCACTTGGCACTCGTGTTGCATTTGACTAGTTGAGAGTTTTTGATTGGTACTTAAACCATCAGTGGGTGCCACAACTTACACATGATGGAGCGTGGATGGCCGTGCAAAAAGTACACCGCAAGTGGCAAGTTCAAGCCTATAAGGACCCTGATGAGCCCGGACCGCATCTTCATTACGAACGTAGCGCCACCAACACTGTCTCTCTAGTATCCCGAGCCCGGATCATGAACTTCGGCACTTTGTTCGTGAGCGACTTATAGTATTCGTGGACATGCTATCATGCGAGGCAGAGATTGTGAACTCACGTGAGTCTTATCACAAGGTTTACTGCATTGGACATGCTCTACAACACCGCCGCATATCCACATTCTCTGCGCGCGTCGGTGGCTCAGATGATGACCTCGAGGCGCCTGTGCCATCACTACCCTTGAATTTTGAGGGTAAGCGCGCCAGCCCGGCCCATTATGGATAGATCGATACACGCATCAAAAGGGGTAGGAATATTTGATCAGACGATCATACTGTGCCCTCAAGTTCAAGTTTATGATCCTCTCGCTTTGCGCTGTCCTATTTGTCGTTCCAATTGTTCGTGCTTCAGTAGTTTTACTCCCAGGTCTCAACGATACCTGTATCCATCCATTCGTTTACAGCGACTCGCAACTTCCCTATGCTAGAACCCTGTGGATGATTATGTCGAGCTGTGCCTTAACTTGTTTGCGTGCACATGGACTGCCGTCCCTCCGGACATTCCGCGTATGGGTGATGGGGCACTTGTTATTGTCATTCGTCGTCTACTCCTTATGTTCATTGCGTATTTCGCCCCCGAACTCATGGCCGCCTGGGCAGCATGGCAACTCATGTGTGCTCGACAAGTTGCCAAGGACTTCAATGATGCTTTGGGTGCGCAACGCGCCCAGCTCTACGGCGACCGTGAAGCCATGCAGCAGAGCAGCTCGGCAGTTCTGTTACCCGATAACATCTCAAATTCAAGCGAAGGGTCAAGTGCAGGTCTGTCACTCGGACTCTTCAGTCAGACAGAAATCAACATAAAACTGATGGCTTGACATCGCGCGGGATCTGTGCAGATGCCTATCATCACGAGGGCAGACATAGAAGACCGAAGCAAGGGTGATATACTATCCAGATGTGTCACCATTCTTCAGCTGGCGTGGTTCCTCATCCAGATCATCGCCCGTTACACACAACACCTCCCCAGCACATTACTTGAAATCGACACTCTGGCTGTAGTTTGTCTGACCATAGATACTTATGGTTTACTATGGCTGCGGAAGCCGAAGGATGTACGACGTCCCCATATTGTTCATTGGAACTCGAATGTTCCTCCACCACACGACTGCTTAGCCAACGAGTACGTTATAATCTCTATTCCTTGCAGAACTTGTTCTAATTGGCTTGTATTCTAGCAAAAGACATATTCCAATGCTCCTGTGTCTACTATCTAATCACAAAATTCGGCGGTCTAGTACCTCGGCTCAGAGTATGACTACATTCCTCGTTGGAGGTGTCAGTGGGGTGCTGTTTGCAGCGATACATGCCCTGGGCTGGAATTTTTCGTTTCCGAGCCACGCCGAGCTGGTATTGTGGCGTGTGGCTTTCGTTTGGAAGGCATGTTTATCGTTAACGATGTGGACCCTCTGGTATCTGTACATGCAACCATCGGAGTACAAAGGGTTATCGGGTAAAATCCTATGTTTCCTTTCCGCTCATTTCATGAAGATTATTGGAATTCTCGGCATGATATACGTTCTTGCACGTCTTACAATAATTACACTTATTATGCTAAGCTTACGATCGCTACCTCACGGTGTGTACGATACAGTAGCTTGGCCCAAGGTTATTCCACATGTAGGTGTATAGTTTCATTACATAGCTGTAGCAGGGTATGATAACTTGCCTGAGTCTTCGTCTATGGCGGGTACTGAAATCGGAAGTGCAAGTACTAATAATAACAGGTTGCCGTTCCCCTTACATACCACACGTTGGTCAGACGGAGTCCTATGCTGGACATCATGCTGGCACGTACAGTGGTTTCGGGGCGCGTTATTCATCGAGTTTGGGTTATGGTCATGGTACATCGCATTGAAGTCCACTACGAGGCAGAGGCAATTTGACTCGGAGGATGTGGGGATTTCTCCTATCGTTTTTGTCTTTCGAGAGGGCGCTTTCGTTTACATACTGTGAGTCTTCGGAATTCGCTTTTGATATTCTTGAGGTAACATCCTTTTGTATGAGTGGTTCGCTTCTGGAAATTAATGTAGAGTGAAGTTCGAATACGACCGAACCAGTTCTGGGTAGCTCTGAACCCCGAACCGGGATGCGGCAGCACTAGGCCGCAAGAACCACTAGCTCACCTTCTCGCGAGGTGACCGGAAGGGAAGGGTTCTGCCTAAACCACGATGTCAAAAACAATTCTTTCTAAAATACGAAGCGTTATTTGGAGTCTAAGAGCAAGCCATATTCTTACCGTCAACTTCACTCCAAAGATATTTTCGACAGAGTCAGCAGTACATACCACCTCGCACAAACTTAATGCGTTTCCCCTTCCTCACTATTGTCAGCGTCCCACAACACTCGTTATTTGGATAGTGCAGATGGGCCATGCTAAAATTAGCCTCCGGACCGTACGATGCGTGTGCCACAGCGCACGCTCGTTGCGTCCTGATGACAACCCTGTCAGAGGAGTTGATTAAGAATTTGGGATGGGGGAACTATCAGCACGCAATCTTGTTAGCAGTGGATTGAGATAAGAATGTCCGAGTTATGCATGCTCTGGGGTGTCAGAGGAAGTACACACCCGACCCACTGGTGCAGCATTAATCCACACTTAGACATGTCCCCCAATGTGATCAAGTCATCTGTCAGTGCGTGTAAGAGAGAGAATGACTATTGCAACATGGACAGCGAAGTACTGTTGCCTAGCAACGATAATATGCCGTGCAACTTGAAGGAGTAGTATCCATTACATAATGGTCCTATTAGAGTTACTCTATGACCATCTAGTCCTGGGGCCCCGTGCCCCGCTTCATCTCAGGGTACGTGAATGCCCTGGTGTGAGGCGTACCCCTACCAGTCCGCCGTTCCCGTCGGCCGTTTTTAGACGCTGTTACCCTACGAAGTTGAAATGACTATAAGTATGCATGCGATTGAAGAGGTAGAAGGTGTATGGCTATAACACGTATCGTGTGTGGGGTCGGTAATTATGTGGGTAAAGACATTAGTGAGTACCCTAGCAGCTGGGCTGAGAAACCTATCTGAGCATGCAATTAGGGATTCTTGAATCTTAAGGGTTCACCGAGGCACAGGTAGAGTAACAGTTCATGCACGTTCATGCATCATATTTGACTTACGGGTGTAATGATTATGACACTATCATGGGCTGTTCCCCTTACACCTGATTTGAACCATGCAATGTTCCAAATCAGCTGCTTTGTGCAATCGGGTGAAAGAGTTGCCAGCATTAATCCTGTCGCAAATATTCACCGAAGTGTTCATCTTATTCTTATTCCAAAGTTCAGACCTGCGGCACCTCGTCAATGGACAAGTAGCGAAGTTCAAGAACAATGTAACACGTTTCTTCTTATCGAAGTTCACATGATATATAATTCTGACTATCTTTGTCTAGCTCTGTGCCAGGGGATTTTCCTGATCCAGGGCTGCCAGCTCAAATTTGAAGTGACTAACCCCTGCAGTAATTGAATTTCGGACCCTAAGGCGTGCAGGTGAGTCATGTGGTTGAATCCCTGGTTGCGCTGCACAGCGACCTGCTCATACTCACATAAGAGTAGCACCAGTGACTGCAGCAATCCCCCTGCGTAATGCATGGTTGATTGGGC